AAAACAAAGACAACAGGGATGATGATGTGAGTAACACCCTACATTTGGGCAAATAAGCTGACTTGAAGTGAATATAGTGGCTCTGCATGCATTGATGGAACAGGAAGTCTATTCATGATTGATAATGCTATCAGTGTATTCAGTCTGCATTGATTAAGTGACAGAAGCTGCATAAGGACATATGATACCAAACCACTAAAGACATACCCAAAGCAAGTAGCATTCATGGAGGATGGTACACTGATCATTGGAGGATCCAATAATGGGTTAGTATATGTCTTTGAGAAGAATACTGGAACCTTGAGGCAGCTACTATGCCACTCAAAAATGGCATGGACACAGACAATTTCAGTGAGTGTTCTCACAAATTCAGTAGAAATTCCGCACTCACATATATCAGGTATACCAAGGGGGGGATCATGCAGGAATTGTTGCTGCATCCTCCAATAATGGTGTGGATAACACAATAACAGGCTGGAAGAAACCCAAGGGGGATTCATCAGCATGGCTGGGGGGAAATAGGTATTCAGTGTGGGTGCTATTTGGGGCAATGCATGCCACATTGCAGTTCCTGACACAACTGCTTACCATGGCCATCATGGTGAAACTTGCCTATGATATTGCAGTTAGCCCCTGCTCATCAGGGACCAACTTATACTGACTGACTAGAGACAGATGGCAGGTGGTCTGCTTTGGAAAACAATTCAACAACCCCCTAGCATGGATGAGTTGTTGGTCAAGCAGGATGCATAAATGGAATATATAGATAGTCAAATCAATAACTAAACCAGCAGTGAAACTTAACTTTGACATAGCCCAAAGATAGTTTTCCAACTTATTTGAGGTGTTTTTGAGGCTATTTAATAGTAATCTAATCAAAATGCATCATGTGCAAATACAAGTCTTGGTTAAACATTATCATTGCAATGGTATATGGTGTCATAGAAGGGTGCACCAGTTCGCAAGGGCCTGTGAAGAGAGTTTCTGTAAATGACAATGCAGACAACACCTTTATGGATCTAACCTGTTACATAGGTTAACAGTAGCCCATATGAACTACTGATGATAGTAATCTTTTTACTATCAATATTGACATAACTCTAATATTACGGGTGCCTACTGCTACACTACCTTTAGTGGTGGACTGTGAGCTAAGACAGTTAATAGGTTGCGAAGTATGAAGAGCTGACAAGCAGCTTACCTGTTGGGGGTGGAAAGAGAGAAAAGGTGTTCATGAGAAAAGTCACTTCAGGTAACCATTTTTCATAAGCATTTAGGCTGAATAGTTTCTCCAAACCATCCAGCCTAATAGCCTCCCAGACCAAGTTCTGCCCAGGGACATCTGGTCATGTCCCAGGGCTATGCAGATTTTTAGGCCCTGGGACAGATGGGATTTCCCACATAGCCATCCATTCAAATGAAATTATTTGGGATGTCCCAAGACTGCCTTGGGTGACTGGGGTCCCTACTCCTGAAAGTGCAGCTTGTATTAGCATTGAAATAGCTGCAGAAATCCTAGCCCCCTTGCTCCTCTGACAGATTTAATCCACAAAGTATCCTTTGACCTATACATCCCCTCCCATCCCACTATGCATAGTAGTATACAATAGTACTTTTCATGTACATCTTTGCAATGTGATTCTGCTGTATTTGGACATCTCACTAGTTGCCAGGGAGATGACCCACCTGGGCCCCCACATTTGCCTTGAAAATTGCAATAATAAATTCAATCAATTTGTGTCTATACCTCATGCAATTTGTACTGTATGAAGGAAGAAGTGAATGGTTTTTGAACACTTGTGTGACAAGCCAGTATCTCAAAGTCCCCCACATAGAACATGAGGTTGGTCACCTTTGCAACACCATCTGCAGAGGGCAGAATGTCCCAGATGAGCCTCTGAGGTTGTCATGGGGCATTGTGCTGGTCTGCAAAGGTAACTTAGGAGGATGTGCCATCATAGCCCTCTGAGGCTGGGATGGGACATCCCACTGACTTTCATAAGGGGACTTGGGATGTCCCACAGCAGCCTCCAAGGCTGCCTTGGGACATCCCACCCTCCCCTTTGCCAACCAGTGGGATGTCCCATAACAGCCTCTAAGGCTACATTGGGACATCCCACTGTTCCCTCTGCCAAGCAGTGGGATGTCCCACAACAGCCTCCAAGCCTACATTGGGACATCCCACCCTCTGCACTGCCAACCAGTGGGATGTCCCCCAGCAGCCTCTAAGCCTGCATTGGGACATCCCACCCTCCCCACTGCCAACCAGTGGGATGTCCCACAACAGCCTCTAAGGCTATGTTGGGACATCCCACCCTCCCCTCTGGCAACCAGAGGGATGTCCCAACACAGCCTCTAAGGCATTGAAGTAGTAATCTGCACTAATCCTACAAGCACCATAGAGAATCCAATGCAAGGTAGCTCCATGGTCAGAGCAGCTGCTTGACACTGAGAGGGTCCTGGCTCAATGCCAGCTCTGGTCACATTTTCATCAGGTTATGAGCTGCAGCTGGAACCCCTGCATGCTCAGTACAATGGGTCATGCAGCATCCTTAGTAAGTCCAGATCATGTGAGTTACATGGACACAAGGTGGCTGATAGTAAGGCCTCCTGGGAACACAGCAGTAAATTCTGATCCATCACATGACACAAGGTCAAAAGGCAATCAGACCATTTGCATGACCCTAGGGGGTGTGCAGCATTTTTACACTCCAAAAGTGGCCAGATGAAGGGACCACATTGGAGATGGTGCATTCTGTGCATTAACTTCATGGAGATATGTTCCCACAGTGCTAGTCTAAGCCCCCAAGCTACTGACACTAGTACCCAGACCATATGGCTCAGTGGTTGCAGCACCTGGTAAACACCTAGGAGGTCACTGGTTCAATCTTAGGACTGGTCACATTTTCCTCATAAGGCTACTTTGGGACATCCCTCCCCCCCTCTGGCAAGCAGTGGGATGTCCCATGACAGCCTCCAAGGCTACATTGGGACATCCCTCCCCCCTTCTGGCAAGCAGTGGGATGTCCCACAGCAGCCTCTAAGGCTAAATTGGGACATCCCACCCTCCCCTTTGGCAAGCAGTGGGATGTCCCACAACAGCCCCTAAAGCTACATTGGGACATCCCACCCCCTTTTCTGTCAAGCAGTGGGATGTCCCACAACAGCCTCTAAGGCTACATTGGGACATCCCACCTACCTCTCTGCCAACCAGTGGGATATTCTACATTTTACCCATGCATATGTCTTGCAAACATGATGCTCAAAATAAATTCTATTTAAACACACCAAATAGATTATAATATGTCTCTATCACCCTTATCTGTATTGAACTCTTTTACTTGGAGATGATGGTGGATCCATTTAAACACACCAAATAGATTATAAATATGTCTCTATCACCCTTATCTGTATTGAACTCTTTTACTTGGAGATGATGGTGGATCCATATCCAGTAGGTCATTCTCCCATTCTTCTCCCCAACAGAATTCTTCCAATGGCATATCACTTTGTTGGTGATATTCATCTGCCAGGGCAAATTCTTCAGCAACACATAGCAACTCATCATCCATCACTTCATCCTCATCCTCTTCACCCTCTGACTTCCAATCCATCAAACCTCTCCTCATTATCACTATCAATATATATAACATGACCACCCTGCACCATGCTGTGCAGTTCTTCATCACTTGCACCCCAGTTCTCATTAGGTGTTCCAGGATAGCCTCTAAGTTGCCTCTTCCACAAGATGCACAGACCTGCTAGTCTCAATGCTCTGCAGTCAAGTTCATATGCAAGATCAACATCTGCAATGTGTGTTAGTCATGGTAATGCAATGACACATGTCTCTCACCAGCACTCTGTCTGGTATTCTGCACATGACCCACTCTTCAGAAAACCACTCTGTCAAAGCTCTTCTTTCCTGAAACAGGTGCCTTTCCTCTTCTTCACAATGCCTCAGCTCAAGGAGTGATCTGATCCCTGAGCACACTTTTTCATCAGCTAACCATGGGGGTAGTAACCCATCTGAATCATCCCCAAGGCCAATATCCTGCCAAATATCATCATCCACATCCAGTTTGAACAAAGAGTCCCTTGGGATCAGGAGTGGGGCTATTGACCCCTGAGGAGCTTTTCCCATGTGTATGAGGCCTACAATTTGCAGACACAGATTATTGTAGCTACTGGCAAGCTTGGCTATTCCTGGTTCTCATTGCTTCACAGATGCTTCTGTGTGGTTTTGAAGTCTTTGTTCTTCAAGGCAAGTCAAATACAAGGGTATTCATGAATGATGACCTCTTACCACTGAGAGTCTGCCAATATGAGCATTCCAGTCTTTCCAACTCAAACTTTCATTGGCACAGACAATCTCTGATATGTTTCTTGATTTCTAATGCATGCATGTGAAGCTATGGAACATGGTCTCAATTAGATGAAACCATGTAGAAAATACACTGCCACTAACTTGAAGATAAGCACTCTTTTGGATACTAGCAAGATTTGAATGCCCATTTATGCCTAGGGTTGCCCTCTGGTTCTGCAAAGCTTCTTTAAAACACTTAACCTTTTGATGACACTCTGCAATTTGGATATTCAAGCTTGTCATGTCAGCAACCCCATGGAGAAGATCTTTCTCCAGCACTTCTAGCTTGGCCTCATAATTTGCCAATGATTTCTGAGTTGCCATGATTTGCAATATCATATTCTCAGCAGCTTTAGAGCTGTGACCTAATTTGATGGTGAGCAGGAGTCATTATTTATATCAGCAGCTTACAAGGAGCTGGCTTTGTCTGTGCAAAGACTTGAGCAACCCATTCAGCTTGAAGAGTTGGGATATCAACTCCACATCTCCTTAGGCCTCTGTTTGCAGCAGCCTTCTTTTCTTGGCAATGATTCCAGCAACACAAAAGCCACTGGCCCAAACCAGTGAGACTCTTCATGTCCAGGTGGCACACCTGGAAGTCAATAACAAAGAGGTGTTGATGATACTGAATAATATGTTAGCTTGAAACAGATGTGGCATACTGCTCACATCCCTCTCCATCAGATAGCCCAAATCCTTCACATTTTTGGGGGTGATAGATAAGCTGACATGCCCATTGATGACAAAAGGCATGAATACTGAGATGGCAAAAGAAATATGTGGCAGAAATGACTTGAGAAAACCCCACTTCCTGCAGCTCTGTTCCAGTTGACAACCTATGTCATATAACAGCCCAATATGAAAATTATATGGGAGATGGCCAAAAAGAGATTTGATGAGGGCAAGTGCATAATGTTGCCTCTCCCCAGCTGAAGTCATATTTGCAAGGTAAATGACATGATCATGATGACAGAGTAGGGCCATTACACCAGTATCTGAAAAGAACTGGGTACTTGCCTACACTGCCATCAGACCAATGGAGTCAGAATAAATGATTAAGACTCACTTTCTGGAGCCTCTCATCAGCTGCAGACTCGATCATCTGGATGCCCACTTCTGTGCTTCTGAGTAAAACAAGCATCAATGCAAACAATTGCATCAACATCAGAAAAGCTAGAACAAAGGAAATTTTAGCAGTTGACAAAACTATATCCAACAAGTGACATACCCATGTTCACTATTATTGCTCTGCCAGCTCTGGCCACCAAAGCATAGAGGACAACACTGTTGTAGGTATTCTGATGGCCTCAGCTTTGAACTGAGGACATCATTGTCTGGGGAACTTGGCAATGGGATTGCAGAGGGGATGTTTGATGGTGGACTAGCAGATTCTTGCAGTTGTTGTTGGACATATTCATCAAGGGATGTTTCCAGAATACAATACCAGTGATATGCATTACTGAACCTCTGGCATATACCCTCCTGCAAGTATCATCAGCAATGATCCATGACTGAGAAGAACAACCAAAGTATGCATTAATAATATAGCAACATCACCACAAACAATACCAACAAACATCCTACCCTATCAATATAACACTACAGCAGTCCCAAGAAACAGAACATGTCACACATGCATGCACTTATAACCATGAAATAGCCATGCATCAGATTAAGATATACTACCTACATAGCAGAGTCATCTGTACTACAGTCACTATGGCAGTAATATATGCTTTACAAAGTGGAAAAAATGGGGTAATGATACAAAACATGACAATTCCATACCTTTGTGTCCACCTCATAACCCATAGCTGCAAGGTATGCCTCAAGGGACTCACACCATGCTGAAGTGTTTGGAGGTATGTGCATGAAGAGTTGTCAGACAAAGCCAAGAAGCTGTAGGCTAACAGCAAGTGTTGGCCCCAGTGGGGCACAGGGGAAGTAGCCCATCCAAAGGAGTTGGAGGGCTGCAGGTGCACAAGGACAGACAGCCAGATCAACTGATTGCAGAGCTGCCATGAATGCATCTGAGCAGAGGAAAATGACAAAGAACACAGAAATCTCACCATTGAAATCAATGTAAATGACTCTCAGTTTTTGAGTCTGGTGACAACCACATGTCAGCAGTTCATAGTCAACAGGATTCTGGAAGTGGTTGGATAGTTGTCAATATGCAAGGTACAGCTGAAGGAGGGAAGGGATGACAGTGTGTGACCACTGCTGCCACTGCTTCATTTTTTTTCAGGCATTCCTAGATGGTGACCAAAGCAGGTCTTGGCTAATATGTAGCCCATTGGTTAAGTGGTTGAAAGTGGCATCATGGGAGAGGTCACATTCACTATGCACAGAAGGCTCTAACAGGCAAGCAGTGCTTGAGGCAGAGTGGTGTCAGATGTGTGGGTCAGAGGAATCACTGGGGTGTTGTGTGAAAGCACAATGGCCAGGTAAGGTGAGCAAGTGCTCAACAGGAAGGTAAAGCCCCACAGTTCTGGGAACACAGCATGAAGGTTCAGCAGTCTGATGGTCAACAAGGACCATGAGATCACCTGCATAGAGCAAGTCAGGAATCTGGTTCATCGGGGCAGTAACTTGTACAGAGGGACCATGCCTAGTAAGCTGTTTTGGTTGATGAAGAGACATCTATGAAATTTGGTCAGACACATAAACTGTCTAGGCGAGTTAGTGGTAGATGACGATCCTGCAACACCAAGTTACAGGACTGTGACCAGGACACTGAACCCTGGTTGCTGGAAGGCAACCCCAAGATGCCACCAGCATGTCTCCAATAGTTAGCCTCCAGCATAGAAAAGTGAACTGACCTTTGCACAAAACTAGCAAAGGCAATGGGGAAAGAGATGGAGCAAGTGTGTGACAAACAAAATGAGATTGTAATTGTGGCATGCTATGAATATTGTTCAGGAAACATACAGAGTAAAAATGGTATCAGGGAATGATGAAGGAGGTTACCAACTATTTGAACTGTAACCACATGGTGCAGTTGGAATAAGGCAGGGAAGAAGGGGTGGACAACCAAAAGTATCAAAGAACAACTGTACATAAAATACAGCCAACTTCTTTTCCATTGCCCAGACACATGATGATGACACTAATGGCATAATTGGCTCTGCCAAGTCTGAGGGGCATCCTGGCCATACAGCAAGTAACACCTGGAGCTTCTCTATGTACTCCCATTTTGATTGAAAGTTGGACAAGCTAAGGCCTTGATTTTGCTGAGGGAAAGGCTCAGCACACATGGTGAGTTCTGAATCACCAGGGAAAATCTGCATAGAGTTCAGAAATAGCACATTCCTGGTGGGGTAAAATTGTACATACCTGCTGGACATGATCGAACTGCTCTGAATCCCAATTCAACCACAAGCTAGGCATCATTGCACAGTCAAGAGTGACCAACTTGAACTGGAAGTTGTGTTCATATAAATCCCATAAAATCTTGCTTTTCATCATCTGATCAATGGTAGTGAGGTCTGCAAGGGAAATTGAAATATCCCAGAATTGTACATGGCTAGGTATGTCATGTTGGAGGCTGATGAGCTTGGGACCAAAGAGGGTGGCAGATTCACATAGTCAGTCACCAGAAAATGTGGATGAAATCTGCTTGGGAATTGTGTTCAGGAAATCCCACCAGGACTGAGGGATAACAGGAGATGCATCCAAGGCAGAAAGATGAGTGATCCAACCCACTTGAGAGACTAGCCAATTCCTTAGGTACCTCTGCTGGCAATTGGAGGACTCACCCCTCACAAACAGACTCAGGCTGGGAAAGAAGTAAGCTACCTTGGGCACATTGGGGCTAACCCTTTTTGCATCCTTATTCATGTCCTTCAGGGCAGCATGCCATGCAGACATAGCAGGGGGAATAGCTGGATTGCCGAGGTCTTCCCACAGTTCAGGATTCAGAACAACCGATGGCTTGGCTCCTCTCGAGCCTGCAGGGGGATCTGAGCAAAATGTTAAACACACTGAGACAAAATGAATAGGATACATACATAGTTGATTATGATGTCAAGCCCTGCCCATCCTAACAACTCCTGTACTTGAACTTACACTGCTGGAACTTGCAGCATTGGAAGCCATGGGACCTGTGCTTGTGGGAGTTGAGGCCACACCACTGCTGGTGTGTGGTGGTTCTGGCCAGGGAGCTGCAAATTGCTTGAGCCCAATCACCAGGCCTTGTCAAGTGTGCCTGTGGCACAATTCACCAGGGTGGTGCCAGGCACTGTGCCATTTCAGCATCTGCCCAACCTCAAAAACCTCAGGATCTGTGACTATGTCATGAGGGCACATAATCTCGACAGTCTTCAACACTTGCATGTCTGGGAGTACATGATCAGGTTTCCAGACCATCCAGAGAGGCATGCATATTTCAAAAAGGTGCTGGCAAATGTTGGGGTCTGTCATGAATGCCCCAATCCAGCAGTCAAATGAATTGATGAAAGTGCCCATAGCAGGGTTGAGGTCTGTGTCCAGATATTCTAGCATGCCAAAGACATCTAGGAGGAGGCATTGACAAAAAGCAACCAATATGACTGTGTCTCAAAACATAAATGGGAGTTGCTAGAGTAAATTTTAATTAACAAAATCTGAACCAGAAAAAAATCATACCTTCAGATGCAGGAGACATCACTGACATGACCCCAGCCAAAAATCAGGTCTCAGAGGACCTTCATAGTGGGGGTGCTTCTTTAGCCAATCTTGCCAATGTTTGTCTAGTCAATTATAAACAGTCTCCATTGACTTCCACTTGTCAGCATGAATCCTGCCAACTTTGAAGGCAGACCCTCTTTCCAGCACAAAATCCTCTGCTGACTGGGTAACATTCCACCACAGCCACTTCCATGTTGGGTTGTCTCCATAGGCCACTTTCTGGGGGACACATGGACTCCATGTGTAGTGTTCTGCAAACAACTGTTGCCATTGAAAACAGTCACCAGAGTCTGCTGACCTTGACCAAGCAATGTGGTAGTTACCAGAAAAGCAGTTACAGAATTTATGGCAACTACCACTTCCCAATATAGACAATGCCCCCTGAGTGACAACCTCTGTTGGTGTTTGAAAAAAATTCAGATTGGAATGTTCCCATGGCAGGTTACCCTGTCACAAATATTGATAATTTGCACCTGTACTGTGGCTATACAGATGAGCAGGTGACCAGTAGATGTGATGGTCACATAATGAGTGACATAAGCAGGGATGACCCTAGATCATGTGATTTTACACAATTGATTATGTGATGGTGATCCTCTGGAGTGTTCTGTTATGTAATTTATCACATGATTGTGGGAAAATATGCATGTGACTTAATCAATGTCACATGACAAGGTACAATCATAGATCATCCAACCTATTACATAATGATCACATGTCAGTTTCTCCCCAGAACACTTGGTTATGTAATGGGTCACATGAATGTGAGACAATAGACATGTGACCACTCCTGCAGCATCACATGACAAGGTACAATTATAGATCATGTGACCTGTTATGTAATGATCATGTGGCAATAACTCTCCAAACCATTGGCTTATGTGATAGCTCACATGACTGTACTCATCATGTGATCTCACCTCTAGCACTCTGCATGTGACTCAATCCATATCACATGACCAGCAATCCCCCCCCCTATTTGCATGCTGGGCATTTGTGGCTGTGCTAAAAATGCAAATTGTGTCCCCACCCATTCAATTCTTGACATATGGATCTGAATTTTTGTGTGTAGAATAGGCTACCATCTTGCTATACATTGTCAAGGCACAGGCTGTCTGGTCCAGTAGTTGCTGAGATATAATGGAAATGAAAATGCTAACAAAACATCACACCATTCAACTTACACATCCTTCATGCCATATCTGACACTTCAGGAGGGTTGCAGAAGATTCCTTCAATGCATTTCCAAAGTTTCAAGTTTATCCATTTAGAATTGAGTGAACAGCAAGCCAAATACTGATCCCAGAAGCATGGGAAAGCTTCAAACAAGAGAAAATAAAATAGTGGAGATTTTGAAAACATATCCAAAACATAGCACAGCACATCCCACAGTGCAGTTACCACTACCAGAACTTAGGTGAGGGATATTGGGACATGGTGGAAGATATTAGTAACAAGTGCCTGATATGATACTCACTGCAAATGGTCAAAAATGCGAAGTGGTATACTTGACTCATTGAAACAATGGGAGATTTATGCCAGTGCAAGGTCAACACCACTACCCCATTGCACACATTTTCGCAATTTTGACATGTTTAAGTGGATATCTCACCAGGCACATGGTGCCAACATGGTAGGCCATATTGCTGCATTCCTCACCCAAAGTCTGGGGTTGGCAGGGTCACTGTGATGTGTGCAAATCCACATTTTTGATATGTTTTCAAAATCTCCATATGTTATTTTTGGGACTTTGTCCCATTTTCCCACACTCTTGAATCTTTATTTTGCATCTTGCTCTCTCAGATCTGAGTGGGGTGACACCAAACTTTGTCTATCAATTAATATGCACATGTCCAACCATTCTGAAGTGTCAGATATGGCATGAAGGATGTGTAAGTTGAATGGTGTGATGTTTTGTTAGCATTTTCATTTCCATTATATCTCAGCAACTACTGGACCAGACAGCCTGTGCCTTGACAATGTATAGCAAGATGGTAGCCTATTCTACACACAAAAATTCAGATCCATATGTCAAGAATTGAATGGGTGGGGACACAATTTGCATTTTTAGCACAGCCACAAATGCCCAGCATGCAAATAGGGGGGGGGATTGCTGGTCATGTGATATGGATTGAGTCACATGCAGAGTGCTAGAGGTGAGATCACATGATGAGTACAGTCATGTGAGCTATCACATAAGCCAATGGTTTGGAGAGTTATTGCCACATGATCATTACATAACAGGTCACATGATCTATAATTGTACCTTGTCATGTGATGCTGCAGGAGTGGTCACATGTCTATTGTCTCACATTCATGTGACCCATTACATAACCAAGTGTTCTGGGGAGAAACTGACATGTGATCATTATGTAATAGGTTGGATGATCTATGATTGTACCTTGTCATGTGACATTGATTAAGTCACATGCATATTTTCCCACAATCATGTGATAAATTACATAACAGAACACTCCAGAGGATCACCATCACATAATCAATTGTGTAAAATCACATGATCTAGGGTCATCCCTGCTTATGTCACTCATTATGTGACCATCACATCTACTGGTCACCTGCTCATCTGTATAGCCACAGTACAGGTGCAAATTATCAATATTTGTGACAGGGTAACCTGCCATGGGAACATTCCAATCTGAATTTTTTTCAAACACCAACAGAGGTTGTCACTCAGGGGGCATTGTCTATATTGGGAAGTGGTAGTTGCCATAAATTCTGCAACTGCTTTTCTGGTAATTACCATGGTCATTTGGTTGAAATCAGCTGATATGGCTGAAACAGTCTATATGGCCAAACCATCCATCATGCAGGGGCATGATTGTTTCTCTATCAAAGATGAAGGGTTGGGGAACATAGTCAGCATTCAGTGATGTGATCCAGTGGTTGTCACACTTCACTAGGACATGTGCATCGAATACACCCCATCTCCCTGAAAATAATGATAATCAATTTGAGCTGAGTTAGGGACAGTGAGAATGCACTGTCACCAGGATGGTTGCACAATGACAATTCATAAGGGTGAACACTAGCTACATTCATCCTGGAAACAAAAGAAGTCAGTCAGTACTTACTTAAATTGATGGAGATGATGATGAGGGGAGAAAAAAATGAATCATGCAGCATTAAGGCCAGTGTAACTGAAGTGAAATGAGAATGTTGCCCTTGATAGGCCCCAAGCCCATTGAGAACTTGTGAGGCACCAAACCTCAGAGCACTTGGCAGACAAACACTCCAAATGTTTGGCTCTGAGTACAGCATAAGTTGACTGGATGTTTGAAAGAAAAGTATGAATGAAAGAGAATAAAAACTTACTTTCAAAAAACAAGGTGACAATGATTAGTGTATTAACTCTGCATGCATATAGACTATGTTAATGCCTGAATTTTGATGAAGAAACACCCCAGAAACCATGAGGATAACTCTTGATAGGCCCCAAGCCTATCAAGAACTCGCAGGCACCAACCCCCCGAGACCTGATGGACAAACACTCCAAATGTTCATGGAAAGAGTGACCAGGCCATCTGGAAAAGTAAGATGGAAAAGATAGAGGGAAACTTACCTTGCACTGAATTGGTTAATATGGAGGGGCATCAGCAACTCGAGGTAGTAGGTAGCACTTACTAGTAGTGGTGAGAAATATTACAGGTACTGCTGTGCATGTGACCTGCACCACAAATGAATGTGACACCTAACTTACAGCATGCTCAAGGAAGACATTGAGTCTAGGCTCTAAATTGTCAAATAATCAGGTGATTAAATATAAGTTTTGTGTTCCATATTTCATTCCTCAATGTTCTGGACTGCCTATTGTAATATTCATGGGAGACATGTTCATGCATTACAGTAATGACATGTTGATAAGCTACTTATAGCAAGTCCTAGTTACAAGTACTAGTGTGCCATTGCTACTTTGTTAATAGATTTGGCCACTTCTACTGATGTGACTAAAGTTTCAATGAATGACAGAATTTTAACATGTCATTTCACAATTGCACAATTGTTACATCATCACAGCTGAAACAAACATTTGCACCACCTGCAGCTAGTACTTAGCAACACTCTCATCTTCTGTACGCTGTCCACATGGTATTGGGGGAACACTCAGTGTGTTCCTCTACCATATGTCAGGGGCTTGGTGCCCTTGACAGCCTTGAAGGCTTGGAGCCTTCAAGGGCAGTCTTAGTGTCCAGTGGATCTGACAATCAGTCGTGTGATGACAGTCAAGACTGACCCTCATCTTTCAGCAATGTTAACAAAGGTTTTCAGGTCAGTGCTTTCAACTTAAGTTATGTGCCATTATGCTTTGCAGTCTACTG